CTCGTGAGCTTATTCATGGAGTAGTCCGTGGTGAAAACTGAAAGTATTTGGTGCACAATAGTAAAGAATTGCAAGGATGTTCTCAGGATCAGAATCTACAAACCAAATGGTCTTGTTGGGACACAAAACCACTTGCCAAAGCAGTGCCTTAGTCAAATGAAGTCACAACATGATGCTGCCTTTTCAATGCACCTGTGGAAACAGGACTTGAAAGTATAGATGTGGATTTGTTTGTGACAAATATGTCTCTGTCATAGTTCATGTCCCAGAACTGAATTTTTTGTTACTGGCACCAACTGAAATGGAATCTGAGAAATTTAATACAGGTGAACTTGTAAAGGAGCTGCTACCATGACAGTGCAAACAGTTCCATGATGTCAATTAGTGTCAGCTGGAATTAAAATACTGAAATTGCCAAAGCTCACTTTCACTTGTGACCTTGTTCACTGAAAAAAAGATAAGAGTACTAAAATAGAAGTGCAGTTATCTATGAGAAAGTAAACAAAAAGCCAGAAATAGAAAAGCATAGATACGAGATTGACAAATGTTAGAAAAACAACTGAGGCAGCAAGAGAGCCTGCTAAGAGGGAAGGTTACAGTGACAAAGTGAGGTCTTGTTGAGGAAAACTGATGTCGTAGAGGTGTAAATCTTTTATCCTGCTCAAGTCACTGTTCACAAAAGTTCCCAATTCTTAGATGTTTCTGTGAGATAGCTGAGGCAGATCATTCCTTAAAGATGTTAAGCATTTATTCTCCTCCTGTATGAAACCAAAAGATACAATTGCAAAGATCTGGTCCCAATCTTTTTTATAAATGTAGGTCTTTTTCCACCTGCTTTGTTTCCAGTATAGTTTTTTTTATGGAATATAATGAGATATCATGACTTTTGGCTCTCTAGCATTATTTCCATCTTTTCTCTAACGCCCCCACCATGGGAATTACAGTATACTAAGTAGCAGAGATAATCTGTCATTCTCTGCATCCATCTTTTCTAGCTCTTTAAGGAGTGACCAGGTAAGGTAGTCCTCACATACTCCATCTTGTCTTTTTCTTTTTGACCTTGCAAGTGAATTTCCTTTCCCCAGGAGGACTTAGAGACAGTGGACTGGCCAGAGACACTCACATATATAATTTAAAAAGAAGCCACATCTCTGTGGAGCCTATGGCTCTGAATTACTGGGGCAAGTAACTTAAGAATTGCTCCAAATCAAGTCGAAGCAGGCTCTCTGTCCAGTCAGCTCCTTTCCCCTTCTCTTCTTCCTCCAACAAAAGATAAAAGACAAGTCTAGGGGGGGACCCTAGACTAGGTTTCATTTACTTGTTTTATGCATGAGATTAACAATAGAATCCTACTTTGCAATTTAATATTCTCTGTATTAAAATGTTATCTGCATAGCTGATGTTAGCAATATTGTTAGAGTAACATCTGTTTCAGTTTTTCAATGCCTACTTCACTGACATATGATAAACCTTAGTTAATATTTTTATAGGTACTTGCTATTTTTTTCTGAAACTACTATAACAAACTAAATATACTAAAATAACAACAGAGTAATTGTGTTACTATTATTCTATGTAACAGGTGTAGATGCAGTTGTGCTCTATTATATACACACTCCCCGTATCACATGGGCTATACCTGAAAGTTTGTAACCAAGGACCCCAGAATTACTCCAGTCAAAACAAAATTAATTGTAAAACAGACTACTAATGCCAGTCTAAGCCTTCATGGTTTTAATGAGATGACTATTTCTTACCACCATTAAGTCTGTAAGGATCAAAGAAAATGTTCATTGAGTTAATATGTGCTAAGAAAAGTGTATAGAAGAGCATAAATGGCTCAGGAATTCCAGGAATCCCACTGGCTTAAACAGTCTTTTATTAAAAGCAAGTGTTCTCATAGTTGAATGACTTCCAAGAAGGGCCTCAAGTGATGAAAGTATTTCCATCTAATGTGAAAGTACTTGAAAGATGCTTATTCCATGTGAAAATATTTCCACCTTTCAGAAAAGCCTGAATACAAGACTCCTTTGATGAATATACTTTCATATAATGTATTAATTTTCAGAATTAATGTACAAAATATCCAGAATTCCTACACTTCTGATAATGAATAGATTATAGTAACTTTCATCTCCTGTAACAGCCAGACAAAATATTTCAGAGTATTTTACAAAACAGACACATCAGCAACATCGTGAAAAATTTTACGTTCATCATCATGACATTCCTCCCATTTCCCTCAGGGCACAACTGACCTGGAAATTACCATAGAGCATCTTCAGAGAAAAAGCAATGGGATCTCCTTCAAACACATAAGATAGATTGACACAGCAGTCAGTCGCGGTGGCCAACCGTGCCATATACACTTTTACTATATACCCTGTATCATCCTACCCCCACCTTACCTAAAAAACCAAAAATCATATGAGGGCATAAACCTGAAACACTGTGCTCAGCCATGAGGACCATGTCTTTTTATTTTTCTGGTTTTATCCTTTCATCTCCTCAAGCTGTTTTTCCAAGACAGAAGGAAGGAAGGAGGTAAGCCAGTATCACGTGCTCAAACAGCACCTTCTCAGATCATGGTATGGTTTCCTCTGTTCCCTGCTCTGGGAGTTGCTACTCTTGTAGCACCTACATCTTTTAAGATGCAATTCATGGTAAGATTGGAAAGCAATAATTAAATAAACCATCCCCTGTTCCCCCCTCCTCCCCCTTCTTACACCAGAATGGAACAAGCAAGACTATGAATGCTGACTGCCAGTGACCTGCAATTTTTTGGAAGCCTCTTCCGTCCCTTGTGCAATCAGGAAATACAAACCTGCATGAGACTGCAAAGGACTGATGATCTCAAGCAGTCAAATAACGTGAGTTCATGTTAGAATCACGATGTGGGGTTTTTTCCCTTCATATTTTATGATCTGTAGGTGGTCAGTTATGCTGAATAATCTTCATTTGATTATAGTAACTTCTAAATTGGCCACAGTCAGACAATAAAGGTAGCCAATGCCTTTTTCATGAAAACATAGTAACTTTCAGTCCACACAGAGCTTGATTCAAAAGGAAGCAGGAGTGTATATGCCAGGAAGATGGAAGAGATTATGATGGGATGTATGGCTCAGGGAATACAGCAGGTATCAAATAGTTTGTATTCTGTAATAATTAACTGCACACATTTTGGTAATTGGTTAGTTCTAGTTTCTGCATCTGAAAAATTCAAATAAGCCTCAGCGCCACAGAACATCATGAGGTTTATTTGATGCTTTTACAGCTTTTCAAAGGTGTTTGGGAAGGACAGACTTCCATAAATCATATCAGTCAAGCTACTAAACATGACTGAAAAGCTGAGGATCGTTTTTTGTCTCATGTCTCCTAATGGCGAGAAATGTGCAAGTTACATAACTAACCACCAAGTGTCACTGTTCGGTGTTTTTACATTCTGAGGTCTTTGTTCCCAAATGCTTAGAAAATCCCCTGTAGATGCCGTCCTGTAAATGAGGATTTTCCAATAAGAATATTTTTAAAATACAAGACACATGCGTATCTTCCACAAAAGGTACAGGAAAACTCAAGTGGCTGGATATGCAGCTTTCTTGAGCAAGCTAACAAGTGATGTCTGAAGTAAATATTGTTCGTATTACTGGATATAATAATGTAAGTCCCATTGAAAATATAAAAATATAATTAGGAATTGGACTTTATTTTTAAACCTAGCAATTTAAATTGTTGCAGCAAATACCATTCTTTTTTGTTAAGGAAGGAAGACAACCCTTACTGAGAGACTGTCGGATGCTCTGTCAAGTAGGCAAGGGATGCACTATCAAAAAGCGTAAGCATATTTTAAATAAGTTCCTATTGTAAGAAGTAATTTAACCTGACTCTAAAATGTAGTAACAGTGGGCATTAGACGTCAGGAGACTGAATCACAGTCCTGGTATGAGGTGCCAAGCTAGTCTTCCCTGTTGCTAGAATGTTAATATAGGTCATAATCTTTGATTGGCACAAACCCAGAATTTGCTGACAGACACTCACGTGAGCTGCAGCTCATGAAGAAATTTCCAATAAAGCTTAAAAACCAAACCATCTTACTGTATATAATTTACATAGCTTCCCTTTGTTACTACTTCTTCTGCTCTTCAGGTGAGCTCTAAGCAGAGCTTGCTGGTGCTGTGGTGTTCCTCATGTGCTTCTGTGTAGCTGCAACTTGAAAGATGTAAAATAGCTGCACAGATTTCTTTATTTATTGGTACCATAGTTCTCTGTAGAATTTGGTATGTCACTAAATGTAACGTTCCCTAGGAAGATCCTTGCTGTGTGCTAATACTGGTTTATCTGGGTGAGCACTCAGTCAGTCGGAGTCACCCATCTGACGTGGATGCAACAGCCAGGAGGGCATGGGTGAGCCAATCTCTTCTGACATAATCCCAGATTACCAAACCTGTACAGCCTGCTTTTTATTTCAGACGAGTGCCTCTCCCACAAATCTCAGCCAGCCTCCCTGCACTCTCCACAGTCTGTAACACCTTTCCAGCACAGGCATTCCTTATGAATAGTTATTTCTGGACACTTTTGAATGAAGAGCAACCCTGAGACTGTGGTATTAGGCCTTGGCTGGATCCAATTACGTGCAACCCTTCACTCCTGTCTGCACTGCTCAGCCCTCTAGTGGAACACTGTTCTCTGTGGCACTTTTTGCATGTATGGAAGATGACCCCACTGAAACAGAGTATGTTGTCAGGGCCCTGAGTGCACTAATAGGCCTTCATGGCCTCACCTGGTGTCTCCACCACACACTGTGCCCTCAGCCTTCAGCAGAGTCACAGTCGTGCCTGTGCCTGGCCATGGACTGCGCTGACCTGGACTGTGACCTGTACACTGAATTCCCAGCTTGACCTCAGAACCTCCTGCTGGTCATGAGACTGCACCTGACTCTGGTTACCCTCGCTGGGCCTGACCCTGACCGGCAGTTTGCCTTCCAAGCTTTACCTTGTACTTGCCTCATCACCATGAACTTGTCCAAACATCTGAACTCATGGCTGGACATCCCTGGACATGCCTTGCTTGGGTACTGTGGGATGGGGCGATGGTGAAGCCTCTGCCCTGCTGCCTGCGTTCTCGCTCTTGGCTCCACGTTCCCTGGAAAGCAAGTGTGTGAGAGGTTGACTCTGCACAGGAAGAGTGTATGAAATCAAGAAGCTGAAACGCCAAATTACACATTTCTGTGAAAGGGGTAGGTTTCCCGTGTTCAGGAAACTGAGTAAAGGTTGGTAGGAAGTGACAGGTGCCAGGATGTGGCACCCTTTCCCTTTCCTGAGAAGGGAAAAGGACATAAAACAACAGAAAGGAGAAACAGTGAGGAAATGAAAAGTAAGTGGTCAAGGAAAAATTAACAAAAGCTAGTAGAAATTATAAAAGAGCAAAAATATTAAAAAACTAAAATAAGCATGCTCAACAGTACAAATCCCAGCACAGAACTCTGTGGGATTTTACTGTAAAAACCTTTTATCCCTTATTCTATTTTTAATAAGGATTTCCCATGATCTCCCATGGCAACCAAATCTCTTTAAGAACCTTTGGTGACAGAAACAGTCAAAGGCTTTCCAGAAATCCAAGTCCGCTCTTGAGCCTTTATCAATTCTGGACAGCACTATGAAGCGGAAAAAATAATGTAAATACTGCCATTTCTTTTAGCACAGTTTAAATCTCTGTGAGTCAAAGTAGAATCAGTAACACAAAATTAAAGCATGGATCTTAAAGTAGAATAGGCAAAAAAGAAGAGTATATGATGCCTATAACAGGTCTTATTCAAGTTATTTAGTTCACCGTTAGGCTGACTTAAACACTGATGTGTTTAATGCCATCCTGCACATTCCAGTAGGGCAATGTATGAACATTTCATAAAACAGGATCAGCTAACAAAAATAAAATATGGGTAAAATCAATTAGTAGAAGAGGCTATTTGAGAGAGAAATTACTTAAGCTCTTGTGCTGAAACAGCAGAGGGACAGAGCAATCACATCTTCTTAGTCTAAGGTACTTAGGCTTTTCTCCGCAATGTCTGAGGTGGGATATTATGGAAGAGAAGATCCTGAACCAGGCATACCCCAGATCTGATCAAATAAGTTTTTCCTATGAAACAAATATAGTAGAGGAAAGCAAGTGAAAGAATTTTGGTGTGTTTTTTCTCTGAAACAAAAAAGATCAAACAAAATAGTACTCCTACATCTTAGGTATCATGTAGTGAAATACGTAGGATGAAAAGAACGTGCTGTGTGCCTGTCAGGTGGTGTTTGATGAGCTGTGCAGGCAGTGATTTCAGGGCCACGGGGGGAGAATGGGTGGGCGATGAGACTGGCTGTGGAAGAGCTCTCAGGCCTCCTTTGCCCGCCTCGCCGGTGGGGTGGACTACAGTCCAGGAGGCACCAAGTCTGATGGCGTTTAGGTAGTACTAACAACAGCCGCTGAGGCTGAGGGGAGTAAAAAGAAAAAACAACCACCACAATATAACTTAAAAAAGGTAGAACTTCCGCAGCCCTTTGCAGTCCCACCTGTGCTGTTGGATGGGGGGGGATGCTGCCCCACCTCATGATGAGGGGGTAAACCAGTCCCTCATCAGGATTGTGCTTAGGCACTTTCTATCCTTTGCCCCCCCAAAAGAAGGAATAGGTATTTTGGCCTCATTTAACAATGATGTTTTTTAAGCAATTCTGTACCCTCCTCTGAAATCAGGTATGTGGCTGGTAGAGGTGCACTGACCTACCTACACCTTAGGCACAGGTAAATCTGAACCGTGCCAGCAGCTCTTCTCCTCGTCCGTCCCCGGCCTACGGCAGCGGCTCTGACAGCCGAGGCGCGAGGAGGCGGCCGCCATGTTGGGACGGAGCGGTGCCACCTGTGCTGGGTTCCCGGCAGCCGAGGGAGGGCAGGGGCGGGACCCGGTGCCTCCACAGCCCAAATTTTGCCCCGGAGACAGGTGACACATTCCCTCCTCGCCCACACCCTCGGTTCCGTGGCCGCACGGAGCGGCGGCGGCGGCTGCTGAGGGAACCCG